TTTTTAATGTCAGGATTTTACTATCAGTATTATGGATTTCAGGATTTTGATTTTCAAGATCCAGTTATAAATCCCCTCCAATGAGTATACCATTTAGACTTACAGATCTCAAATCTTTATAAGCAAATATAGTCCCTCCACTATCACCTTTAATACTATTTATATCTGAGATGATCAAATCTGCTTGATGGCTTTTTTTAAACCCAAAAAACCCGTTAAATGCTCTTACAAAACCACAAGTAGTACGTGATTCAAAACCTGATTTGCATAAATGAGCACCATGACTAGTTACAGTAATGTCATCATCAATAAATAAAAATTTTTCGTCTTCAGGGCGACTGAATTCATTTCGGCTTCTTATAACTACTGTTGGTGAAAACTCTTTCAATGTTTTATCTTTAATTCTGATTAAACCAACGTCATATTGTATATCTTTAATTTTATTCATTTTATTCATTTCACCTATTTTACCTTCCGAGAAATAATCGGATCCCCTCCGTCCTAATAAATGAAATGATGCTTTCTGTGCTTTCTGACGATTTCGATTACAATGTCCTGCGGTTACAATATAATTTTTCTTTAAGTCATTCGATTTTGCCCAAAAACCCACTGAACAATGACGATTAGTAACATCATTCAATAATCCATCTCCACCGTAAATTGGAATATTAATATCACGTTTATTTATGCCAACTTCACTTTGAGGTCTCGTAGAAAATGAATTAAGTGTGTTTGCATCCTCGTCTGCATACTCGAGAGTCGGATTATATCGTCTGATAGCATTTAAAAAGTTTTCATTAAAAGAGTTTTTACGTCGAAGTAAGTTTATAACGACATTATTTTCCTTCATATCAATAAAATAATTAACGTCAATTGGTTCATATTCCATGACTACTTTGAATATTTTGTGAATAGATTTTTTTAATATAGCTAAAGAATTGTTTTTTGGTATAAAGTGTATTAAATTAATATATGGTCTTATTTCACGTGAAGATCGTATAATATCAACTTTAGAGGCATTTATAGTATTAACATATACAAGGTTCTCTCTTACATCAATATAAGTTCCCCCAAAACTTTCATCATCTAATAATCGGTTTAAGATTTTATCAATGACTTTCATATGATTATTTGATATTATTTGATATTATTTTATATTATTTGATACTATTTTATACCCAACGAAATTAAAAAAAGCGACAATTAATTCATTGAACTTCATTTCATTGATTTTTTTAGCAAAATTCAGACACGCTAATTTCATGTGGGCTAACTGATGAAAGATAAGTTCATTTTATAGATAGTTTATTTCATTCACAAAGTAATTGTAGTCATTGACGTTTTTTTTTTAATATCAAAATTATGTTTAGTTGGTACAATTTTATAAAAAAAAAAACTTGTATGTAAAATGTGCTATCAATGAAATAAAATCGGTTCTAAACCAAAATTTTAAATTACACAGTTAAAAGTAATTATAGTCATTGACATCTTTTTTTTTTAGTATCAAAATTATGTTTAATTGGTACAATTTATAAAAATAAAAAAAACTTGTATGTAAAATGTCAATGAAATAAATCATTTCTAAACCAAAATTTTAAATTACACAGTTAAATAGCGCTTTCATAATTGTGAAAAACTAATCTGCCAAAATTTTCCATTTTAGCTTTATTTAGTATTGTTATTAATAGTCCGTCTCACCGATTTTTTACAGAACTTATGATCGTTTGACCGATCCGATAAAGTTTGGATTCGGTAAATATAAAATAAGGTAGCTGCGCGACACTAGGAACGTAAATTTATGATTTTATGCAATATAGCAGCTTTTCAGTCTGGTTCTAATAATTGCAAATCATGTTTCCACATGTGACTTTATTTGCATTTCTTAACCAATAATATAGTATTTTTTATAATTTTTCGCTTGCCACATCTATATTCACAATCACTAATCAGGCAATAATTAGGTGGTTATAATATTGTAATAGATCACAAATCTACATACTTTTGAAATTACAAATCTATCCTCTACTAAATTGTAAACCTTCTATTAAAGTTACGAATCCATTCACTGTTAAATTGTTAAAATTGAATTTTCAATACAATAATTTATTAATAATTTGATATAAAAGTTATGCCATAATTTTTTGACAAAAATCTGTCATATACAAAAATAAATGAGATTCAACATATTTTAATCCCATTAGATATTAACCAGTCAACTCGGCTTATACTGAATCCTCCGTAAAAATTTTCAAAAAGTTCTGTTTAAAAGTTCACTATGTCTATAAACCGATTTACTAATAAAATTTATAAATGTTTTAGAGCTTTGTGTTTTGCTCCCACAAAGTTTATTAAGTATTCGGTTAAGCAGCTTTAGTTTAGAGAGATATAACTGTATATAACTAAGAATTGTTTTGAAAGTGAGACTGAACCAAGGTTAGAATTAAAATATTAATGAACTGGTTTAATCGTTATCAGAGATCAGAGCAAATTAAACTTTAGGGATGCTAATAGTCCAATTTGATCACTTTAGTCCACTTTTAATACTGTAGTTCAAAGTGTTAAAAATTAACTGGTCTTAAAACTGAAAGCAGACTTTTTTTATTTAAGACTAACTGCGGTTTGTCAGTTAAAAATAGACTGCATAACATCCCTGTTAAAAAAATTGTATTGTTGCACAGAATCGGATATTTTGTGACGAAAAACTTGTAGCCTTATAATTTAGTATAGTTATAGGTTACTTTAATTAGACTTTTATTGTTTTATTAAGCTATAATACGGTTACGTAAATAGTATATAGCTAATTTAAGTCTAATAATATGTATATAAATAACGATGATCTTTGTAAATAGGGAGAGGAAGTACTTCTTTTGTTTAGTGGGAATAAGGGATATTTGAGAGGATATTTGTGTACTGGGTACACGTTTTTCGAAGATACTTGCTTGTATCGCTTATATTTTTTAGTACTTTTGGTGTCTTGTACGTAATAATAAATAATTGGTTTCTTCTTACGACCAGAGTTTAAGTCTCTCCCTTGTCGTAACAT